AAGTCGGCCGATGAAGTGGCGTCACAATCATAAGGACACCAGTGTTCGCCAATCTGTTTCTATGCGACCGGGTTCAATCGAGACCCTATCGATTAGTACGATAAAAATTTTGTGCACACACAGGTACGCGAGCCCACCCTAAGTGACCGAGTTGGTCTTGTTGGCTTCCTGTGTCTGTTTTTGTTCCTGTTGGAGCTTTTTGTTTTGAATCCGCTGAGCGATTCGTTCCAACACGCGTCGGGCCTCACAGTCGGGAAAATTGGACATATCGTAGTATTGTGGGGCTATCCTCACCAACCTGGAAGGAGAGAGCAGCGAAAGTCTCAGTCTTCAGTTTTTACAACAGATGATAAGGTGCATTTTCGACGAAAGAACAAGTGAGAACATATGCTCCTCGAAACAAATCCTTACTACGCAGGCTTTGGGGGAAGAAATTGAAAGCGACATCAGGGCAAATCATGATGTTTCCGATTAAGACGATAGGAATACAATAAGACGCAAGTTTCCGAAGAACAACACCAAACGAAAACTCAACATTCTCAACTTTTTGGTGACCAATTAGAAGCACTACACATATGAAACACATTTCAGTACCCTTTGTGATCCACTACCCCCATTACACGAAACCACAAGACAAATTGAAGTTCCACTATGGGAATGTTTTGATTACACACCCTGGTGTGAAGAACCATGGACGGAGTANGTAAACTCCATTATAACGAAGATCTGGTGTTCAGTCAGCAGTGCAAAATAAAAGTGTGTGACAAGCACCAGTAGATAAATCAACCTTGGTGGGCGTTCTGTGAGAAGTCAGAATTTCTTGAACTGTCGACTAAAACTGGCTAAGCTAATGGTTGAACGATTTGACGTGAAGTGAATGGTCAAATAAACATTATTAGTCGACAACTGCTAAGTTGAAAATGAAATGCATCGCCTGCTTTTTCACTAATGTGATACTGTGCTGTGCCGAAATAACCTTTCACCCATACTCATTCGTTACTTGCTACTGTCACAGTTAATGCACTTAATCCGCAATTACCAAAGCAGCTTGGCGCTAGTTCTCAANTTCTCAATAACGCCACAGAGAGAAGAGGATTCTCCGCACAACGGACACAATGATTATTCAGTTGTTCGCCGAAATTTTTGAAACGTTTGCAATACGATTGCCAAGCTCGGCGAACAACAGATTTTTTGGTTCGATATTGTATAGCTATTGGTGATTAGTTAAACAGGATTGTTGCAAATGGGTAAACTATAGGAACATGCGATGCACAGTCCTTCCCTTGGATAAAACCGGGCTTTGACTGCGGTCCACTGTGCTTAGATTTCACTCCAACCTACATCATTACTGGGGAGCATATTTCTATATCATGACTAGAAACCTGTCCGGGGTTATTAATTTAGACTGATAAGTTTAATGCAGTTTGTACAACCATTTGCATTGCACTTTCATGCACTGGTATCTCGTCGACAGTGAGTAAATGATGAATTTCGTCGTATAAAAAAGCAAACGAAACGTGGACTGGAAAGCCGTAAAGAAGTTTGCGGCTGTTTCGACTTGGTTGGATATAATCAGTTGTGTAAATCCATCGAATCGGTCATGGTCTGAGAGATACAGCTGAGTGTCGTGATCGACGGTGCTCGTGTATTTTCTCAATTTATGCGGCACTACCTCCAAATTTTCCATCTTTCTATTCTTCCAACCGTATGGACAGCCCGAAGACAGCTACGAAAACGTCCGTACGAAAGCGCACGGTTAATAGTCGTTTTAACTGAAACATAAATTTAGGTTGTCATGTGAAATCTGGTATAACCTCCACGTTTTAATGGCACCAGCCAATCAACATTTACCTATGCTGGATGCCTTATAAGTCGACAGCTCTGTCATCAGTAGATCAATACAACACCTGTGTAACCCTGGAGTGGCGGTTGGTCACCCTTCCCTTGCACCTCGCGAAACGGTCCTCAAATAGCCTCTGCTGAGGAAGCCCTACTCACTGCCTTCTCGTGGCGGAAGTGTTTTCCCCCCAATGTGAGAAGACGAAAAGCCGACATCCGGGGTATAACTGGGTTGATGGACCTAGGGGAGTTGGCCAAAAACCCTGATTTCAAACCAACCAAGAGAAGGCGCACGACTACACACACAACTTCTTGGTTGTGGCAGCGGTCACTGGCTCGATTGGGCCTCGAGGTGTATTGGGCACCTTAGACGTTTGACCCCGTCCAAAGGGTGTATGATCCGGTTAATTGGACACCGGCCCCCAATGGATTGCTGTTTTCACACACCACTGCCTTGCAGGTCCTCAAGAAAATTCACCTGCCTTGGCCTGGGCAACCTGGCAGTATCCCGCCCACATGCAAATTATGGAACGTTTTTCTTTTTCATAATGATTGTTGCACCATGAATTGTTTGGCATACAGTCTGAACTCAGTCGTGTGTGAAATATTATGAAATATACTGTGTTACTCTAATATACATATACAAATAGGCAAGAGTGAGTAACTCATCTCATCCTTCCATTACTGGTATGTTTCGGTTATAAAAACGCGATGGCTGAAACCGTTACGCACAGCTTATGACATCCAGTACTTATGAATGTATGGACCTATGGGCCCAAATTAACTACTGCTGACCGCTTGGGTTAGAGCTAAATTCTTTGATACCTAACTCTAATTTTCGTCAAAAGGCAGAATGACGAACTATTAAGACACGCACTGTGATCAAGTCATAACAAGGACAAAATGGCTGTTCAGTCATTTTGTTATCCAGTAGAATAGTGTAGGAAAAGTAACACTCACCCTAGTGCTACATATAAGGTATTAGTAATGTTGTGAATGATCCCACCAATAGAGCACAATGGTTACCACATTCTCAAAACACATTCATTGTTTTGTTACACTGCTGTGCACTACCCCCTTCAATGATGATCACAGTAGTGATCTTCAAGGAGTCTGAGTCACTGGTACGGAGGGCGCCCCCCAGCTATATGTTCAGTATTTGCTAGCACTGCCCAGTACTGGTACCACGTGAAGTTTTCCACTCCAAGTCGCAGAACTTCGGGTTTCGATGAATGAACAGTATGTAATTGGGGGCTTTAGTCGTTCTGCTGCTCAGCATATAATGCAGTGTACAAAGATACAACAGTGTGCACTGTTCTGTCACCGAGGACATGTAAGCCAATGTGAAATACAAACCAAAAAGGTCCCACCATACAAATGTCTTATCACGCAGATTTCCAGGGTAAAACAACGAAACGACCGGGAACGAACAAACTAACACATTAGCATAAAATTCAACAGAACTAGTCGCAATGTTTGTGCAATGGACTTACCAATCCGGTTTGACTTCGGTCACCGTGCGGATGTAGTTTTTCGAGGTCAATACAAACTCGTTGTACAAGACCCACTCCGGTTTATGGTCGAGCACGGTAGATGGATGCAACTGGACAACCTGATTATCTTTTACAGTTAAGTAGTGGCCAGTACGCTCGAGATGAGCCACCTAAATCAATTTTCATACGTGAAAAGAAAGCGAGGGGATATACAATCGTTCCGTGAAAAGGACCCCAAGAAATTAGAAAACAATCTTACGTGAATAATCCAAGTGTTCAAAGAATGATTAACCTATTTTCCGACAATCCTAAAATGTCGGAATACCAAACATCGGTCCAACAATGACATGCTGTAATCAAACCTAATAGCAAGAGGATTGGTCTGATAACACGTTCTTACAGTTGAGGTAAATGTCTTATTGAATAAATTAATTTAAGATTCTTGGCTTATCCCATGCTGGTTTCAGTAGGCATCGGGGTGTATCGGGCATCCTGGACGTTTGACCCCGCCCAAAAGGGTGCAGGATTGGACTGTAGTTTGCCGCACCGCCCCGATGCATTGCTGATCAGGCTCCGAGTAGTCCAGGGCTCAGATTGGGAACCCCACAAGAGAATTCCTCTGCTTTGGTCTGGACAACATTTCGCCCGCGAATAGACCATGGGTCCATTTCTCTCTTATACAGATTGTTGCACCGTGATTTGTTTGGTGGATTGTGTGGACTCAGACATGTGTGCGAATATAACAGAAAATATAATGGAGTTCGTATGTAGCGGTCGACAAAGAACAACGGACGGCTGCTTCGTTTTATTTTGGACTGATGACTACTGCCATTGAATGTTTCGAAAATTAGAACGGAATACAAATTGATACAAATAAGTTGGAACACGACAATAGTAGTAGTAGTACGAAGCACAAGGACAGCACGCGCAGGAAAACATCCCCGAACAAGTAGTTTCCAAATGTAAGTTGACTAGCTCTAAGATGGATCTTCTAGAGCGGTACCCCGAATAAGAATGGCACAAAGGTGTCTGTCACAAGCGAAATATGAGCTGACCAAATAAACTATACATGGAACCGGATAAAATAAGACAACCTGTGTGAGCAGTTACCCACGCTGATGCGAAGCTCTCTTCCACTGTTTACTGCATAGTCTAGTGTAACAACGAATTTACGTAGGTATCGATTGAAAATCGCCTGTTTTAAAACTTTTATTTTATAACAATGCAGTATATTCTAGGGCTCGACCAACATACAACACTAAGACTAACCGAAAGGCGGGGGCGGGGCGGGAGCGAGTTATCAAGACCAACGCGTACAGGCCAAATCGATCGAAGGAATAAATACAAGGAGGAGGAAAGCGTGGTGGTCAAACGTTACTCGTTACCATCATACGGACCCAGTATTGTAAGTGAGGATTCCATCACCACTATCACGACCACTGCCTAGCGACCAAATATTTTTGATATTTGACTGACAATAAATACAACTATCGGATCAATTAATTGGAATAAAGTTGAGACCAAGTTTACAAGCATTGTAACGTTTGATACAGATCGATCACTCTCATTTCCATGTACTTGCTTTTCACCGGAACTTTTGATTCATGAATGTTTGTTTCTTCTGCCTATAGAAGACCCGTTTGAAACAATTTTTCGATGTTCTGTGAGTTCGAGTCATCTATTTCGGTCAAGGTAGTGGACATCCTGCTGTGCACTGGGGTTGATGCCGCTGAACTTTGTAATTAGGTTATGGCACCGCTGTTGACATCATTCAGCAATGCCATCTAACTTCCCTTGTGGTCCGAGCCCCGCCACCGCCACCGCCACCCGACTTTGGTGATGGACAGCTTTGCTGTCGCCCGGTTCTATACCACGTCTAACCTATCGGGGCCTTATGTGGTTCACCACCCCAAGTCCCGGGGATCAGGTTACCGGTTACCATCACTGAACAGCAGGTCCTATGACTACAGGGTTCGCCAGACACTGGTGTGTAATAGAAAAAAATAACTCGGCTAACCGGAGAAGGACGTTAGTCAACTGGGAGACTTGCGAAGCGCAGTTGACGCTTCATTCAGATTCCAAGGATTTTATCCTTAGCCGAAACCAAAGAAGCGAAAGACAGTGCCTAAATTATTGCCGTGATTTTTTTGGTTCAACTTAATAAATA